ACGAACGTCAATAATACTCTGACCGCAGATCAATTACTCACTATCTATACACACATTACCTTCCTTTATATATACCAGCCCACCCTACATCGAGCAATTACTAGAGCATTCCCGAAAGAACAAGATAGTTCTAGAAACTAGAGGGCGCCACAGTGGTCACGTGACTCGTTGACGCAACATAACAATAAATATTTAAGGACAACAAAGGACCCATGGGTCCATCTAGGCTTTCTTAGCTGAAGACGACTTCTACCCTGCCAAAAATGTATATTTGTGCCCCCAGTGTTACCATTCTCACTATTAAGTATTAAAAAGATGTATTAACACTACAAATTCCCTTAACACTCTTAATCACCTCAAAAAGTTCTTCTCTAACAAAATATTTTCAGAGATCTGCTCTCATGACTACCTTTTCATCTCAGGTATCATCCTAGTGGCTTTCCTATGAACCTTTTTCAACAATTCAATGTCTTTCCTAAGGTAAAGAGCCCAAGATTGAACACAATACTCCAAATTGGCCTAACCAGTGACCTGTATGATAAAATAATATCCTCTTTAGACTTCTATTCAGTATTTCTGTAGATACAACTTAGAGTCCTTTTTGCCTTACCACTAGCAACAGCACACTGCTTGGATGGCTTAAGAGACTGATTAACCACTACACCAAGATACGTTTCTTCCGCAACACTGTTAATGTTATTCCCATCCAAATTTTAAATACAATTCAAATTACATGCATTATCTTGCATTTATTATAATCAAAACGCATCTGCCATTTTTTCGCCCAACTCACTAAATGATCTAAGTTCTTTTGTAAAGCAGCGGCATCCTCCTCACAGCCAAGACCTTAATATCATCAGCAAATTTAAGTAGTTTATTGACCATTCTTTCATCAATGTTATTGGTGTAAATCAAAACGAGCAAAGGTCCCAAGACTGAAACCTGAGGTATCCCACTTGTGATATTAATCCAGTATGACTGAACTCCATTTATAACAACCCTATACTTTCTTCCATCTAGACACACTTCTATCCAATTAGCCAACTTATTTCTCAGCCATGAAAATCCCGATGCACCAAATCTACACCCTTACCCTCATCTGCATAAGCAGTAATCTTTTCGAAGACTTTCAGAAATTTATAAGGCAAGATTTTGCCTTGTTGAAACCATGTTTACTATTCAATAAAATTATAAACTTTGTTATGTGACTTTGCAAAGCATCTTCTACCAGATTTTGAAAAAACTGATGAAACAACTGATGAAAGACTGATAGGTTTGTTTTGTTTTGAATTTCGTGCATAGATTCACGAGAGGCCATTTGCGCTTGCCGTCCCTAATTTAGCAATGAAAGACTAGAGGGAAGTCAGGTAGTCATTACTGCCCGCCGCCAACTCTTGATTACTCTTTTACCAGGGAATGGTGGATTTGACCTCAGATTATAACGCTCCACGGCTGAAAGGATGAACATGTTTGGTGAGACGGGGCTTCAAACTCACGAGCCATAACTACCTTTAAAAACAAATCACCTCCTTTGAAAAGAGGAGTAACATTAGCCAACTTCCAATCCTCTGGTACCTGCCCACCATTCAAGGACTGACAAAAAATAGTAGCAAGTGGCTCATGTATCCAATCTTTAATCTCTTTCAAAACCCTTGGGGAAATATCTCATCCAAGATACTTATTCTTTAAACTTTTCAATTTTTTCGTAACAGGCTTAGAATTAATGTGATCATTTTGTTCGATCTTCTTTCCATCTACCAACTGTTCAAGATGAGGAATATTGCTTAAATATTCATTAATCAACATTGAAGAAAAAACAGAATTTAATAACTCACACATCTCATAATTATCAGATACGAGCTATCCTTTATCATATCTCAAAGGTATTTAAAGAAATTCTTAATGTTAATTTTTACTCTTTCAGCCACCTTTTTTCCACACATCTTTTTTGATGTTATAATTTCCCGTTTCACCAACTCTTTTGATCTTTATAATCTTCTAAATGTCCCGTTATATAAGTCAATTTAAATCTATTAAATTTATGATATTTTTCTTTAAATTTGTCCATTATACCCTTTGTATGCAAACCTGGTTTTTACTTTCAGCCCCCCCCCTTTTTTTTCTATAAGGACTCTGTTTATCTTAAATATTTAAATTAAAAAAATCCACATTTAAGCAGTG